AACCTTTGACATATTTAGAATATGTCAAATTTATGATAAATGACATAAATATCATGTCAACATAAGCAAGGTCGACCTATCGCAAGTCTTCCTGATGATGTTTAAAACATCCATGTATAATATCGTGCATGTATTGCACTCACCTTGACACTTTATAATTTTCCAAATTTGTTCCTCACTATTGTCCACAATAAACCCACTTGACTTGCTTCAATCGCAAATCAATCATAATCTGTATATTTCACAATTTCATAACGATACATATGTTAGTATTTTACTAACATAAACATATCCACAATAACTCCATAATATTTTTAATACTCATTATCTATCAAAATACTAACTCTTAATAATTTCTTTTAACATTGGAACCAATTTTTCCAATTTACACAAAATGGTCCTTCACCATTTTATCACTTAGAATTTCAATACAAAAATTCCAGTATTGAAATTATTATCAACCAAGTACACAAAGGCATAATTACAATAACACTCCCAACAATTCGAAATTTGTATTACAACTACCAAACTTTCTAAAATTTCCATATTCTGACAACTTGCACTACCTTTAAAGAATCCATATTCTGTATTGATATACACACTGGAATTTAATTACGTTTATTCCTTTGGAAACTAGACTCGAATACGAATCTATACATATAAATAACTCCTTCTAACTAATTTTTTACAATTTATGGTGAATTTTCAAAGTTTATCAACATAATCTGTTTGGTAGAATCTGCTGTCCGATTTTTCTGACCTTTCCTTGGTTAAAAACTCATATCTTTTTGTATACACCTTGAAATTGATCCCCGTTTATTTTAAACGAAACTAGATCAATTTATGAACACAAATATATAAAAATAACCTCTAAATTATTTTTATATAATTTCTGGTGAATGTTCGAACCTACTACCAGATTCAAAATCCAAATTGTTTTCTTTAATATCATTCTTAGGTTCTTCATCAATTCTTACAACCAATTCTTTCAATTCACTTAACTCTTCAAAACCCATAAAACAGAATAAATCAACCATTTAACATCTCTACAATCAAATTCTTAATTAACTCTCATCTAAACACAAATTTCTCCAACTTATGATTTGGCCGAATTTTGAAGAATTAATTCTAGGAAGATTGAACATGTTATAACCATCAATCAAACTTGAAAATGAATCTACTGCCTCTAAAAAATCAGGATTCCTCATCAATTTCATGATCCCTGATATGAACACAAACCCTTAGATTTATGATATTTGAAATCCAGAAAAATTAGAAAGCAATATTGGTACCAAATGATAGCGTTTTTCACTTAGATCACTTTCCTATCTCACAACATAACTCAAATTCCAAAGGAATTAGCTCAAAATTGAAAAATGAAATATTTTGTTACCTTCAAGCTTTCTCACGTTCTTGTGCTGGAGAAGAAGATGAGCTGAAAATCTCCACCATCATTCATATTCTAATGTTAAATGAATCTAACACATGGCTTAATATAATAAAATGGAATTTTTTATTCAATTCAATAAGAATTCCATTTTTGCCATTAATGAATCTCCATATTCACCATAAAACCAAGCCATCTGATCATTATCATATTATAAAGTCAAATATGAATTATTTTAACTTTTATTTCTGAAATTCACCTTGAATTTTCAAATCTTGCATTTTAGTCACTAAATTCCACTCTTTCGGTTAAATCTGGAAAATTGCACAATTCCAAGCCAAATTTATGTGATCCAAATTATTAAAATAACATTTTCAACCATTTTATAACATCCTTCAAATTTTTGTAAAATTCCATTTCAATCGGAATTACCGATTCCTAATCGGAATTTAACCCTTTCTAGTTTTTCTTTACTAAAAAACCAATTCTAAAAATATGATTTCTATAAAACTCCACTCTCAAGAGTAAACCATCTATTTATGGAATAAAATTCTTTTTAGGAAATTTATCACTTAATTCCCTAAACTTTTCCCCAATTTTCTACTTTGACCATCAAACTTTCAAAGTTTTCATTTTGGTCATTGTCTAAATTTTTGGGGTATTACAAGCTTCTCATTTGGAATGATTTCTCCATATGCCTTGAGGTCATTAACAATCACGGAGAATCTATTCGTCATAGCTTTGATGTCTTTATCCGGTTTCATCCTGAAATTTTCATAGCTATGAGTAAGTAGACTAATTTTAGATTCTTTTACCTTGTTGGTTCCTTCATGAGTGATTTGTAGTTTGTCCCATATCTCCTTGGAAGTTGTAAAATATGATAGTCTTCCATATTCCTCTGGTCTAAGTACACACAAAAGAATATGGATAACCTTTGAGTTGAGCTGGAATAATCTCGTCTCTTCTTCACTCTACGTATTCGGATCTGTAGATGGTTCAAAGTATTTGTTCATCTCGATTTTCCATGCTCCCATATCACTAGCTTGAATGAAGTATCTCATCCTATTCTTCCAATAAGTATAGTTAGATCCATTAAAGAAATTAGGCTTGTTGACAGGCTGAGAATCAAGACCAAAGTCAAAGTTTGATGTAGAGGCCATTGATGACTTAAATATCGATCTAACTCTTCCTGAATCTACTAAAGATGTGGTGAAACCTTCAAATGAGTTTAGCTCTGATACCAATTATTGAGTTAATCGATCGGATGAATCGGCTAAGAGGGGTTGAATTGGACATTAAAATTTCGGTGGAAGCTTTTGCAGAAAATTGAAAATATTTGCATAGCGATTGAGAGTGGTTCGACTTTCTCAACCAAAGTCTACGTCCACTACTATAGCTATCCATACTAAGGATTTTCCATAAATTCACTAATTTGTCTTTCTTGTGACAACAAAGAGTAGCCTTACAACTCCCTCAAGAATTATACCCCAAATTCTTGAGAACACTCTCTCCCAAAGAGAAGAATACAAATTTCGCAAACTTTACAGAAAAACCTAACAAGCTAGATTATTTTCACAATTATAGAACAAGGAAAGAACACTCAAAGATGAATACAATTGAGCACAAAATGTGTTCTTGAAAGCAAAATGAATATTGAATGAAAATTGGCTTGAATTTCTATCTTGATTCTTTTTCAAATACTAATTGATCATAGGCTTCAGAACTTGTTTAAATACACCTTGGATCAATTATGAACGTTGAGGATCATTGGTGAAGTCAATAGAGCCGTTGTGGTGTGAATTCTACTTCAAAAAGCTATTAGGAGCGTAGGGATATCAGTACACCTTCAAGGGGTATCGATACATCCTGTGTAAAATTCAAATATTTCAACCGTTATAAGACTAGGGGTATCGGTACCTCTCAGGGGTATCGGTACCCATTGGGCATTCTGTTTTTGTCGGAGCCAAAATCAACATAAGGGGTATCGGTACCTTTGAGCTAGGTATCGATACCTCTTTGTATAGGGGTATCGGTAACCTATGGGGTATCCGTACCCTTTTTGCATTCGAAGTATGAGGGGTATCTGTACCTCTTAAGATTGTATCGATACCTCCCTATTTAAAACACATTTTTGGCTCAATTTTGGTTCGAAATACTTTGTAAAAATTATTTCAAAAATGTTTTAAGATTGAAACACAAATTTTCACTTAAGTAAGGAGTAAAATTGACATTTGAAAACTTGGAGTAATATATGAGATATTTGATTAATTGAATCAAATATTATTTTTGAAATTGAATATAAAATCTTAAAATTCATTAACACTTTATTTGTTATATCGAAACATCAAAATGTTGTCCACAACTTGTTTACATCTACATCTTCAAGTATATGGGTTTGAAAATCTTCCTCATGTTCATCTTGGTCCCTAAGTAATTGAATGTGTAAAATTCAACAAAATTATTAGTTAGTGTGGTTGTTAATATTAAAAAGTTAGTTTGGATGATTAGTTCTTCAGGCTGGATATCCTCCATCGTGAAGTTGAACTTGAAAGCTTTGGTTAACAGATAGTTCTTCTTGACTTGAGCTATGGTGTGAGGGACCCCTCTATCATGAGTTTGCTCTTGTGTGATTTGAGCTCAATATCCTTCACCATGAAGTTGAAATCTCTACTCAAAATCTCGACTAGGAAATAGTTCACTACAAGAAATTTCGATTGTTCAACAAAATTATTTATAACTAAAAGTACTAAATTTGGCACGATATATTTATTCTGACCAATTTTATTTGTTACCTTGTTAGAACAACCTTGCCATGTAAAGTATATTGTGACAAAATTGTGTTCATTACAATTGTATAGTATTTATTGTAACAATAAAATTTCGTTACTATAATTAACTTATCACAATAAAATATTTGTCAAAATCAATTAACTATTTTGTTACGAGAAGTATATTTTTTCATAACTAACTTATATTTAGACATCAAATATAAATGGTTTTTGTGACGAAAATACATAAGACAACAAAAATTATTTTGTCATAGTTACTATTTCGTCACTAAATATAAGTTACAGAGACAAAATATTTGTTAAAATAAAAAATAATTATTTAATCACAAAAAGAAAATTTCGTCACAATTTACTTAAATTATAACATCAAACGAAAAAAGTTTTTGTGACAAAAATACATATTACAAAAAAATTTATTTTGTCACTACTTTTATTTCGTCACTAAATATTTTTTATAACTTTTTACTGTGACTAAATAATATGTTTCAATATGTTATTGTGAAAGAATATTATTTGTCATAATTTTTATTTTGAAAAAATATTATGACAATAAATTTGACATAACATTTTACTTTGATTAAATTTAACGTGTTATTGTGACTAAATCATTTTGTTACAATTTTGTAGATTCTCGTTTTGTCCGGGGTTTTATTCGAATATTGTTTGGGTTTATATTATATTATATTTATATGTGTGGCCATATATATTATTATATCATAATTATATATATATTATATATATACGTATAAATAAGTAATCAAATAACATAATATACATAGGTATAACGTTAATACACTAAATTTTATTCTATTCTGTTACAGGCTTACATCAGATATAAACTCCAACCCGTGTTCAATTGGATTAAGCCCAAACAAGGCAACATTTATTCGACCCAAATAGAGACCTGATTTGGAGCAAGCTCGGACCCATGGCAAACCCGAATGCTTAGATCGAGCGGCTGGATCCAGCAAGTGGAAATTACGCTCGTTGTTCCAGATGCGAACCAATTCACATGAGCCAGCTGTTCCATTCTTGCTGAAGCCGTTTCGAATGTACCTGCAACAATAAATAACAAAAATGGATTCTCTCTCAGCCACGTAGAGAGCCCAGCAAAGCATGCATTTATGGAAGAGAAGAGGAAATCAGCAGGGATAGGGGGTATTTTTAACCAAAAAAACAACCATTCGAATGGGGGAACTCATGAGAATGAGGTTTTTCTACTTCCCTGGGATTGGAAAAAGAGAGTGAAAAGAGAAATCTTCTTCTCTTTTATTGTTTTTACACAGTAGAAAAACAAATACAAATACAAATACAAAAAAAAAACAGTGTGTAAAGAGATTCTTCCTCCCCCGTATTCAAGAATCAAGTAGTGTATCAGGGGTCTTCCCCATATTTTTCGAAATCAATAAAAGTATTTTTGAGCTATTCCTCGGATTTTTTTCGATTTCCAGTATGTGTTGAGTGTGCGTGTGGGATTCATTTCGAAACAAATAGAAACCCAGAAAAAAATCAACCAAAAGCTCCTACCTTTTCTCATCGGATAAGCGCTACCATCATTCAGCGAAGCCGTTACTTCCTCGTATCATCGAAGGTAACCCTGTAATCTTATTTCAAGTTTCGTTTTGAGGGGGGACTCTCCATTCAAGTAGCAATAAAAATCAATAAAAATAATAATAGTAGAAAATAAGAGATAGGAAAGAATTTCGTTTAGTTACCTTCTTCGCTTGTTGTCCTGTCATTGCCAGAGTATTTGTCACCGGGAATAAAGGGTTCATCCGTTCGTGTCGTCGGGATCGAGAGATGAGCAGTTGGGCTTCTTTTCGCATAACTTAGGGGTAATTCATTTGGTTTTCCAGGTTTTAGATTGAAAACGGTAGAGTTTAGGTGGGGCGGTCTAGTTATTCTCGGGTCGCCGGAGATAGGAGCAGAGGAGGAATCGAAGGTCGGCGTGGGTGTTGGCCCTTTAGAGTGGCGGCTTAAGAGTGAGGCTATAGAGGAATCAAGGGGCTTTGTAAATCGATTTGGAGGATTGTTTGTTTTCTCATTCGTGATAGGTGGCCAGTTGGATCAGGTATAGCCACCACGAAACGGTGGCCGGTCAGATGGCCCTGGTTCAGGTGACATGCGATCGTGGAGAAGAATGGGGAGAGTTTGAGAACTCTCAAATGCGGCTGAGGGTTTAGTTTAAGTTTAAGTTAGGTTTAATATTTTAATTAGTTTATATATTAAAACTTTCGGGTAAATTAGTGTGTAGCCATCATAGCTTAAGGGTAAACTTATCTTTTGGTTCCCATAGGTGTAGCGCTTATTTACATTTTAGTCACCTGAAGGATTAATTTTCGAATTTTGCTTTATTTGTTTGTCCTCATATCATTATTTTCCAGATTTTCCTTCATGTTTTATTTATTTCTATTTAAGTCTCTCATTTTTAGGAGTGTTTTTCATTTTAATCCCTGCCTTAATTCTTGATATGCATGTCTAATTTTCGTTTATTTTAATTTAGTTTAGTTGAGCTTGCGAATAATTTGAATTTAATTTCTGGATAATTTTGTTTCCTGATTTGATCATTTGTTTGCTTAATTTGTTGAATACTAACTAAAGTTTATGCTTATTTTATTAATTAGATTAGGTTTTTTCTTTTAAATAGTTCTAAATAAATGAATATATTTATATATGTTTTTTACATATTTTTAGGTTACTAGGTTTTTAGAATAGGTCACTAGGTTATATAGCCTCAGAAATGAGAATGATTCAATGGGCATGTGGTAGGACTCTATGGGACATGACACCAAAATCTGCTATTAGAATGTCCTTGGGGGTGGTGTCTGTATCTAAAAATTGAGGGAGGAAGACTACGGTGGTTTGGGCATGTCCTTAGGCGAAAATCGTCGGATGCGGTTAGGAGGGTAGAGTCGATTACAGTTGACGGTGTTAGGAGAGGACGACCAAGGCGGAAATGGGAAGACTGGTTGAGATCTGATTTGAAGGATTTAGTCCTTACAGAGGACATGACCTCTGATAGGAAAGTATGGAGACTTAAAACCAGGGTAGCCGAGTAGTGCGAGTCACATTCATAGGGTGTATCATCTCTGTCTTCTTTTAATGCCTTTGTAGAAATTTCCATGACTTCTACTTTTTATACGTTTATGTCATTGGAATTTATGATGTCTTAGAAATAGGGTAGCGGAGTAGTGTTGCCTTAGTTTAGGTTTTAACTCGTTTGACTTTATTCCTTCTCGTAGCTTGCTATCGGTGACTTCTGCGTATCTTGTTCTTCATGTTTCCTCTTTTTAAATTTAGTCGTGTATTACGTTTCTGTCTATATGAAGAGATTTTTACGCAAGGATTTATTTACAGGGATTACTTCCCATTATAGACGCACATATGAATATTTCATATGAAAACTGTTCAACTATGTATTTATTTATTTATACATACATTGCATTTTATATTTATTTTTAATTTTCTACCTGCTGGAGGTCTTCCACGGAAGTTGTTCTCAACATGGCGTTGGGGGCAGTCTACTACCCTACCTCCTCCTTACCCCATTGCATATGAGAATAGGGTTTTGTTGTTGTTGTTGTTGTTGTTGTAGAGCCTTAGTTTATGTTTAGACTCTATTCTCATGTCGATCTTTAGATTTAGATTAATTCATTTTTAGATTAATTCCTTAAATCTAAATTTATTTTAATTTAGTCCATGGTTAGGATGTCTTTCTTTAGTTAGTTATATTTATTTTGCATGTTGATATGTTTATATATGTGAAAGTAAGCAAATGATTAATTTACAAATTATATGACATTTTTTACACGAACTGTATGATACTCTCATGTGCATAACTCGACCCCTATCAAATAATTGGATTAAGGGTAATACCCTTTTATTTTAAAATCGTTTTGGGGGGCTTGTCTTAACTTATTAAAGAGCCACTTTCGATGATTTTAAAATAAAAGTGTATCCCAACAGTGAAACCTAAAAATGATTCCTCACCTAAAATTTGAGAATGGGAGAATAAGAAATATTCGTTCATTTAAATTCTTTTAGAAAATATTGTTAGAACTTATCAAAGGTCTGATCTCGGTGTTTTTAAATAATCGAATATTCTTCTTCTTTCTAAAAAGGATTGGTAATTTTGTTTTAATCTAATTTGGTGCTTTTGAATATTATAATGTAATTATAATATTTCTTTATTTCGATTGGAGTATGAATTGATTGCCTCAAGGTATGAGGGGTTTGTTTCTTCTCGATAAGAAATGATTAAATATTATTAGATTTCATTATTAAAATTCATCAATTGTTGTTTTATGAGATCACGAACTAAATTAATTTTGAACTTGTAAATTTCATTGCCAAGACAATTAATTAATCGACAAGTTCCAATTTAGGGCATTGTGGGGTGCTAATCATTCCCCACGCGTAATCGACTCATGAACTCGAATTTTGGTAACACATACCTCAATTTTTCATTTTAGTCACTAGTTTAACGGTTAATCACCTTATAGGTCCCCTTAACTTTGCCAAGTATTTACACTTTAGTCACATTACTTCTCTATTTTTTTATTTATTTCAAATTTGAGCATATCAATTTTATTGTTTTAGATTATGGTCATTTATCTATATTATAGTTATTTTAATTTTTCATGTTGTTTTTTTGTTGATTATATTTTGGTCATTCATGTTTCTGTTATTTATTTTTAATACAATTTGGTGCTATTTTTTTTATTTATTTTTATCTATATTATATTTAATTTTGCATGTTTTTTTGTTGATTAAGTTTTATCTATATTATATTTTTTTATTTTTGTTGATAGTATAATTTTTCATAATGATTAAAATATATAACTACAAAAATTATTGATTACAAAAAACTTGAATTTTATTATCTAATGTGATAATTTTTTCTATAACAATAACTATAAATTTTAATTACAAAATTTATCAATAAAAATTTTTGAAACAAAAAAAGTGGAGAAAAATATTAATCACAATAAATTTTATCACTACAATTTAAAATTTATAACTACATGTATAATTTGCCACAAAAAAAAAATGAATACCATTATTTTTTGTGACAATGTTTTGTTTTTTGCAATAATCATAAACACTTATAGTTACGAAAATTGTTACTATATGATTTTTTGGCACAAAAAATATGGAGGAACATCTTTATAACAATATATTTTGTTACTATATAACATTTTTGATACTAAAAAATAGGGAAAAATCATTCTTATAGTATAATTTTTCATAATGATTAAAATATATAAGTACAAAAATAATTTATTACAAAAAACTTGAATTTTATTATTTGATGTGATAATTTTTTCTATAACAATAACTATAAATTATAATTATAAAAATTGTCAGTATAACTTTTAAAACAAAAAAGTTAAGAAAAAATAGTTATGACAATATATGTTATCACTATAATTAAAATTTATAACTACAAATATAATTTGTCACAAAAACCTGAATAGCGTTAATTTTTGTGACAATATTTTTTGTAATAATTATTAACACTTATAGTTACAAAATTTGTCACTATATGACTTTTTTGGCGCAAAAAAATATGGAGGAAAATCTTTGTGACAATATATTTTGTCACTATAATTAAAACATATAACGACAAAAATTGATTTTTACTAAAACTTTAAATCTCATTATTTGTTGTGACAACTTTTTTGTAAAAGTAATTATAGCTTATAGTTACAAAACATGTCACTATATGATTTTGTTTTTGTACAAAAAATTGGAAATAATCATTTGCCACTATATGTTTTGTCACTATAATTAAAATATATAATTACAAACAAAATTTTTCACAACAAATCTAAATCTCATTATTTGTTGTGACAATTTTTCTTGTTATAGTTACTAAAACTTTTAGTTACAGAATTTGTCACCATGTGTCTTTAATTTGGCGCCAAAAAATAGAGGAAAACATTTGTAAAAAAATCGTAATAAAATTTATTTTGTCACCATATATTACATATGTTTGCTAATTGTGACAAATGATTATGACAATTTTAACTTTTGTCATAATTGTATATCTTTTTTTTAATTTAACGCAACGATTATTTATTTTGTCACCAAAAAGCTACTAATAGTGACAAAATTAATTTTGACAAAATTAAATTTGTCATAATAATAGAAATTTCTTGTAATGGTTCTTTTTTTGTTCTAAATCGCAGCCACTCTTCACTCTTCTTCTTTACTTAAAGACCTTAGTTTAAATTTTGACTGAAAGATAGTTCCTTTGTGCTACTATTCAGTCAATGTGCTTCCGAGTTGAGTATCATTCGTTGTGAAGTCGAACTAAACTTGAAAGCATTGGTCGACATATAGCTATTCTTTACTTAATCTATGTCAAAATCTGGGTTGGAAATTAGTTCCTTGTTGCTAAATCGTAACTAATGTGGGTTTTCTTATAGACTTGAAGACCTCATTTGGGAAATATCTCATCGTAGTTGAGTTATGTTTAGAGTATAATATCCTTCATTGTAAAGTTGAAACTGACTCTAACCGTTTGCAAAATTATGCATGTGGGTAATTTTATGAAAGTGATGCTCTTATGCATGCCTAAAATGTAGAAAATTAACTCCTCGTTATACGTTGAGCTAAATCGTGGATGAATCCTTCGTTTCGAGTTAAGCCATATCAAGAAAATATATCTAGTTAGACAGAATTTTTCAATAGAAAATATCTCAAGAATTTGTTTCGAGAGAAACTATCTCGATTGAGACAAAAATTTTCAAAGGAAAATATCTCAAGTGATATGAATTTTGTTTCAAGTGAAATTATCTCGAGTGGACAAAAAATTTCAAGGGAAAGTATCTCATGTGAGATGCAATTTTGTTTCGAGTGAAACTATCTCGAGTAAGACGAAATGTTTTCAAGGGAAAATATCTCAAGTGGGATGAAATTTTGATTCAAAAGAAATGGTCTATGGTGAGACGAAAATTTTCAAGGGAACATATCTCAAGTGAGATAAAATATTGTTTTGAGTGAAATTCTCTCAGTGAGACAAAATTTTTTAAGGGAAAATATCTCAAGTGAGATGAAATTTTTGTTTTAAGGAAATTGTCTCAAGTGAGACAAATTTTTTTTAGGAAAACAATCTCAAGTGAGTTAAAATTTGTAATTCGAATGAAAAGTGAAACGATC